TCAGCAGCGTGCCGCGAGTGGCACGGCCTGCACGAGGGCCAGAGGCTAGCCCAGCGCTGGATGGAGTGGCCTCAGGATGCGCTGCGTGCGTTTCCTCTCCACTTTGGCATGCTCCTCGTGTTGGTATATGTGCGTGGGGCCATGGGGGCCTTCGGAGAGGGGGCCCCTGTTTTCGACCCACGTTTTCGTGGCCACGTTTCGGCCGTCATCCCAGATAGACATAAGAGGGAAAGTGTGGAAACGGACGAGACACTCGCCCAGAGGTGGGCGTGTTCCTTGTGCCTGGCGCGAAGCTCATGTTTTCGACCCACGTTCTTGTGGCCACGTTTCGGCTGTACTTCCAAATGGACACAACACTCGCCCTGCGCTTGACGTGCTCTTTCTGTGCCTGGCGCGAAGCTCATGTTCTCGACCCACGTTCTTGTGGCCACGTTTCGGATGTAATGCCAGATCGACGAGGGAGACTGTGGAACTGGACACAGCGCTCGCCCAGCGGTGGACGCGTTCTTTGTGCCGGGTGCGTAGAAGCTTCGCTCGCGACCTCTATCGCACACGTGGGCGTGCCAGCGGGGCACGGGGGTCGGACCGGCGAGCCCCCGGGAGGAAACGAGAAGGGGCGGGCTTTCTCGGAAGGCCCGGAAGGCCCATTCGCGCGTGCTGAGGTCGGGGCCCAAGAGACGGGGGTCGGCGCAAACGGGAGTCAGCCAGGGCGCCCGATCTTGCAGGACCCTGCAGGGCGAGGGTCGCATTGACCCGGGCTTGGGCGCAGGATCCTGCAGGATCTTGAATGGTACTTCGCGTTGGCCTGGGCTTGGGCGCAGGATCTTGCAGGATTTTGCAGGATTTTGTAATGGCTGGCTGGCCCGGGTTAGAAGATCCCCGATGTGAAAAGTTGTGTGAGCCTTCTCCCCGAAGACGTAGGCCAACAAAAATTGAGAGGGCGCGAGGGCTCCTGAGAAGTCCCTCCGCCTTCTGATGAGGACTTCTCCTTCTCACTTCCCCCCCTCGCTCGCCGCCGAGAGGCGAAATGTATCGGAATTCGCTGATCTCTACAGACTGGGTTCGAATTCAGCCATCTAACACTCCAGGCGGCGGGCCACGGAGGACAGCCTCGCGCCCGACGAGAGGAGGAGGAGGAGGAGGAGGAGGAGGTGGATGAGGAGGAGGAGGAGGAGGACGAGGAGGGCGCGCATCAAGAAACCATAATTATGCTTTTCGTCAGGGTATCCTGGGTTTCTTCGCTGCGCGCGCTGTGCGGTGGCTTCCCGCAGCCGTTGGAGAAGCTGCTGCGTTCAGGGTGCTCCGGGTTTCTCCTCGGGTGCACCTCGCGCGCGGGTTTTCAGGGTTGAGTTTCTTTTCGAGGGCTTCTTGCGGCCGCGCACGCAGTGTAAGAGCGAGGCGGCGGTGGTGACGTCGGCAGACTGTCGCTCTCAGCATCGCCGGGCCTGACATCCTGGACGCTGCTTTGGGCCCCACAGGCGAACCCTGGCCACAGGGCCTCCCTCGAGTTCGTCGGCGCGTGCTGCCCGGCAGCAGGCCTGGCGGCACTTGCGCGCAGGGCAGCGGCTTGAGTGTTCTGTGCGCGTGATTGGCGTATCATGCGTAGCACCCCGCAGTTGCGGATGAGAGGGAGGGGGCGGGCGAGGGGCGGGTCGCGGGTGGGTCGCGGGGTGGGTCGCGGGCTGGGTAGCGGGCTGGGTCGCGGGTGGGGCACGGGCGAGGGCGACAACAACAACCACAACAACCACAATAGCAACATTAACAGCGACAACAGCAAAACAACGACAACAACAACAACAACCACAACAACCACAACAACCACAACAACCACAACAACAATAACAACAGCAACAACAATAACAACAATCATTTAAGACTGGGGACACTCCGTTCTCACCAGTGCCAGGGTTTTCATAGGAGGCGGGCAATACCCCCACTTTGTGGGGGGGCCGGTTCAAGCTCTACCAAATTTCCAAACGACTCTTCGCCACCACCCACACCCAGCTTCCCGCCCTATGACGTTCGGACACTTCACTTCGTGGCATGCGGACGACCGTGGCTACTATTCAGGGCCCCGCGGCCGACGACGACGGCGTGCGCGCGCGAAGAAAAAACGAATGTGTCCCGCATGGTATTATTTGACAGGGATGATGGCCCTGGCAGGTGCGCAACCGTTGTCGCAGAAGTTCGAAAAAGTTGCTCGCAAAAGCCCGTTTGACAGAAATGTTTAAAAAGTGTTGGGTTTCCTACGAATCCGCAAGAGCGCGCGGGATGAGATTTTGACATTTTTTTGTTGAAAAACCATTAGTTTTTTTGATGTTTTTATGTTAAATCGCTCCGAACACTAAGCTTTTGGAAGGATTTCGTCTTGCGCGCGCGAATGTCCACTTTACCTTATTTTTTGCAAGGGATTCTTGAAATTTGATTATATTAGAACAAGAAATGTCATTTTATAGTGTTTTTTGCAAGGGAAAGCGGGGGGAACAAAACAACCGGATCCGGACATAATCCACTTTTCTGAAGCTTTCGCGAAAAAATGATGAAAATGTAGCTGCGGCCTAGGTTTTGGAGGGGGGTCGCGCACCAGGGGTCCCAACAATAATTATTCTTTAGAAGTAATAATGTTCAACACCAACGACAACAACACCAACAACAACACTATTAACATCAACAGCGACACCAACAACAATCACAGCACCAACGACCACCACATCAACAGCAACAGCAACAACAATAATGTCAACAGCAGCAGCAGTAACAACACCAACAACACAGCAGCAACACCAACACTCATGTTAATATTGTTCGCTCTTACCTGCCCGCATGCTATCAACACGTATATTCCAAACCCTGGGTGCCCGCCGTTTTCGTGTTCGATGGTGTCCCCTTGGGGATATATCTTCCTTATTTCGCCGCGTGTATGTAATTGGTAATTGACGCAGTCCCTGAAACAGGGGAGGAGAGGACCCTAAGAGGGAGGGAGAAGGATGGAGCACGGGTTAGCAGGAGGGGGGCTAGGAGCAGAAATCACGTGGCAGAACCAGACGGGCCCATCGGGCGAGTAGACCCTAACGCGCGGGTCGGGAAGGCGGTCCCAAGCGGCCAGGTCGAGAAGGCGTGCTGCTGAAGCATAAGTATTGTATGAATCGCGAGGAGAGCTCGAGCGATAGCGCGATTCCCAGGTAAATCGTGAGAAAGGCCAAAGCGAGAGCGTGATTCCTGGGTGTCGAGGGCGCGGCGTCTGAATACATTGCGAGGAAATCCCACGCAAGAGCGCGATTCCTGCGCGAGAGCGCGACTTTGAAATTACTGGTGAGGAAGTATCAGGCGGGAGCCGTTGTTGAATTTTCATGTTTGAAGAATACGTAATTTTGGTTGATCCCCCCCACCGGTGCATATTGTTTTTTCTCTATCAAAGTGTGCCCCTCGACGATCGCACCCTGTTTTTTGGCAGGGAAAGTCTTGATGTTCAAACTGTGCCCCTGGCCCCCGGGTTTACAACAACAACGGCTCCCGCTTGAGACTTCTCACAATTTAGCCAGGACCCCCGCTCGAGCCTGAGACTTCCTTGCATTTTATTCAGGAATCGTGCTCTCGCTTGGGACTTCCTTACAATTTATTCAGGAATCGCTCTCCCTGCTCTCTGGAGTCGCGCTCTCGCTGGAGACTTGCTTGCAATTTACGGAAGCAAGGCGCCCTTGCGTTTGAATGTTATGTCATTTGCTCAAGCGCCGCGCTCCCGACACCCAGGCACCCAAGAGCCGCGCCCGTTGTGGCCCCATGTGCATGCCCTTCGTGGCCCCGTTGTCGCCGTTTGTGGCCCCCTCATTGTCCTACGTGGCCCAGTTGCTACCCTCAGTGGCCCCATCGTTGCCTTCTGTGGCCCCGCATTATCTGCCCTTCGTGGCCCCCGCTCGTTCGCGTTCTTCGTGGCCCCAGACGCATTCCCTTCGTGTTCCCACTGTCGCCCGTCGTGGCCTACTTCGTGTCTTTCGGGGGCCTGCTGTGGTTCTCTCTCGCTTTCGCTCGTCGTCGCCGTCGTCGTCGTCGCCGTCGTCGTCGACGTCGTCGTCGTCGTCGTGGTCGGTCTCCTGTCCGTCCCTCTTGGGGTCGGGTCGACGGTCCGCGGCCGCCCCGCCGATCAGCGCTGCCGCTGGCCAGGCCGACGGTCCGCGGCCGCCTCGTCGCTTGCCGGGGCCCGGCCTGCAGGGAAGAAAGGTATACACCCCAGAAGGGGCTTGATCGAAGACGAAGAGGGCGGGTATCGAGGGTTCGGGAACTACGCGTTACTGGACACTCGAGTAGATCAGGGCGAACAGTCTTAAAATGATTGCTGTTGTCCGGATCCAACAAGCCAGTTTGGTGATACCAAGCTTTCCCTGATCAAGAGACATGGTTCGAGCCCCGAGGTGGGCACTTCAATTTGGAAAAAGGCAGGAGTTACCAGACGGGATGGATCAACCATAGTTGTTCTCAGACATGAGACTTCTCGGCGGCGAGCGAGGGGGGAAGTGAGAAGAGGAAGGCCTTCTCGGAAGGCTCGGAAGTCCTTGGTCTTCTGAGAAGTTTTCCAAGCCTTCCCCGCAGACAAACCATTTTCTCAGAGGTCGCGAGGGCTTCTGAGAAATCCCGCCGCATTCTGAGAAGGTCTTCTCCTTCTCATTTCCTCCCCTCGCTCTCCACCAACTGATTCGAAGAAACAACGACATAAGCACACACTTTCGTAGCTCCGTGCCGAGTTCTTGGATCTGCGCTGGGGCCACCTTGGCGGCGCCTCCGGCGCCGCCCCTGGCGCGCTCCGCGCGCATGGGAAGGGGGCGTCCAGCGCAGATCCAAGAAGTCCGCGCAGACCGTCGAAAGTTTCTGTTTCTGCCGTTGTGTTTTTCTTCTGTTGATCGCTGTTTGTTGGTTCCCACTCCCGTCCCCCCCTTCCCCGCCGTCGTCCCTGCCGAGGTGTCCGTCCCCGTCCTCGCCCGCCGCGCCCGCGCTCCGCTGCTCAG